CATCATCCTGAAATGACAGGTGGCTGGTGCATTCGGCGACGTTGGCTGACATCTAGAGTCTAGGATTTCAGGCTTACATGGGGAAGGATGAAGCCAACACAGCGGCCTCCATCACTTGTATCCGTTAAGACTCCTCCCTAACGCACATACACTTTAATATATGCCCACAAAATCCTCTTCAATTTTTCAGGCAGCTGCATTACGGGATGGTCTCGATCTCTATAGGCATGCCGGGATGGCACAGAAGCATCTATGTTTTCCAGATCCGGCGAATAGATCCCAATTCTCCGAAACACATCTGCTGCCACCACAGGACGTCTAGTCACAAATCTGATGAATGGTCGGAAACTCCGTGCACACACAACTGACACTTTTCCGCATAGTTCGATACATCCTTAACTCTAGACCCTGAGCGAACTTGAGTTCGACAATAACTTCTTGATCTGCTGACTTGAGATGTGAGACTGGAGGCATGTTGATGGCTTTGATTCCGACACCTACCCAGAGACTCCAATATCCCTTAATTGAGGAATATGTACTTGCAATTTTGTAGGATCATTAATATAATGTAAGGTATATTCCTTAAACTAAGGGATATTGGAGTCTCTGGGTATGCTGACAAAGGGACCGACTCTCCGCAACTTCATCCAAGCTTCTGTGCCATCTGCGCGGGCTCCATGACGATCTTGGGCATGATGAACTGCGCGGTCCTCGCTCCAAGACTCTAACATAGGTGCCTTAATAATTAGAATAGGGTTCTTTTGAAGGGTTCTTAAGAAGGGTCCTAGTAGGATTACTATAAGGGGTATTATGGGGCTGTAAGATAGGTGCCCTAGTAATTAGAATAGGGTTTTGGGGGCATATCATAATCCATAAGAAGGAACCCCCGACATGGTACAAGTAACAAGTTTTGGCCCCTGCAGTACCCTCGTAGAATTCTCAGGTAATCTGAAAAACCGACTTATGGAAGCTCCGTTATCGTGATTAGATGTGAAATTCAGGCTGCTGAGATGGCTGAAATGGTGCAGCACCTCCTAACAGCCACAGCATTTCTCCAGACAGTGCACCAGGCCCACAACTTGGCGAGACTTGCTCCAGTCTCATATTCAGATTAGGCTCAACGAAACAATGATTCCGACATCAGGTCGTAGCCCGCGTGATTCAACAACTCCCTCTAATCATTTCCGCCGTGGTCCATAAACCATGCCCATAAACCATGCGGGTAGTTGTCAAAATTATGGTCCCTTTTTGGGTACCCTAATTATTAGGTGCCGTACTACAATAGGGACCTAAAAAAGGACCCTAATTGTGACAACCACCCATGCAGCAGAACAGGGCTGTTCAGTGAGACAAGCGTCGTGGCTGTCATGGCGACGCTGGCCTTGGCTGTGCATCACATGGGAGTTTTACAGAAAATTAGGGGTACCTCATTTTTGGGGTCCTTATACTAAGGATCCTGCTATTCAGGGTACTATACTAGGGCCCCCTATATTCGGAAACTCCCACATTTCATCACTTCACTTTCAAAGCCTGCTGCAGAAAAACCTGAATGCATGATCTTGGTGCACCCACCCTGCGTGCCCTGCGGTGTGGTTTGGTTCCTAATCTCCCCTCCAAACACCCCGTGCTCGCAAAAACCCCGCCCTGAATCCTACAGGTAGAACTCGGCGAATTTCCGTCGGTGAGCTTCTGCAGAGGACCTCACACTTGGTCCCTCGTCGAAATACACATAATATATACATATATATATATATATATTATATATATATATATACATACATATATTGAGTTGCTACCGAAAGCCGAAACCCCTTATAGGAACGGAACACACGCGCACACATGCACATAACACTTCTGAAGATGTGTACTCAAGGGTAGATAGATGGGTAGGTAGATAGACTTAGATAGATAAAGGCAGGCCTCTTGGTAGGCAGGAGGCAGGCAGGTAGGGTAGGTCGGCAGCTAGCTTTCTAGCTTCGCCAGCAAGGCAGCTAGTTAGATGAACAGGCAGATACATACGCATCAGAGGTTTGCGAGACATGTCGTGTTTGTGTATAGCTGTTGCGTGACTAAACAACCAACTCCCAAATCCTGACACTCGACAACAACTGAAGAGGCCTGTGTCAAAGACACAACAAACACACTACTTCGCATCTTGCAACATTGCGAAACCGTTTCACCTTCCAGCAGGACTTCGACGACGGGTTCGTGTGCAGATAGCCGATGTCAGGCAACTCGTATCAGTTTGGAAAAAGCCCCACCTGCCTCCATTGGAAACGCTCAGCCCAAAACCATGGACTGTAAACCCCGGAAACAAGGCCCTCAACACCACTCTAGCATACCAAAATATACCAGAATATACTATGCTATGATATACTATACTATAATATACTAGACTATAATATGCTTTAATATACTTCCACCCTCCCAATGCTGGGTGCTCAGGAACTGCAGGACGAGGCACCAAATTGATGCCGACAGCCCACAAAAGGAGGAGCACCTGTTGGTTTAATGTAGGGGCCTTAATAATTAGAATAGGGTTCCTTGGAACGGTTCTTAAGAAGGGTCCTATTCGGATTGCTATAAAGAGTATTGTGGGGCTGTGATACAGGGGCCTTACAGGGGCCTTAATAATTATATGAAGAACCTATTGGTTCGGATCGTAGGCTCTCTCTGGCAAGGGTTTATGCTGTTGAAGCACCAAGCATCGGCGAGAGGCACACAAAGCTTTTTAACGCACACACAAAGACCTCAGTGCAAGTGGCTTCTGCTGATCATGGCCTAAGCCCTTTGCTGGCTTCTGCCGATCATGTAACCTAGGCTGGCCTATACATGTTGCTTCAGCCTAGACTGCAGGGCCTTTGGCAGGCTCGATTGAGCCATCCGCTGGCATACAAGAGCTCACATTGCATGCTGCACATCAACTGAATAACCCTGGCTTTCGGGAATCTATACTCCTCCTTGGTGTCCTCGTTAGGGAGACACCACATTGATGCCAGGGCGGCTCCAAAATGGTAGCCTCGTTCCAGCTGCAGCTTTAATAAATTCGATTACCACCATTCTCAAGGCAGCATCGGCATAGGGTCACCCTTTGAACATTTCCAGCATTCCGAAGACCCCAACACTCACGAAAGATATGTAGGTGATCTCTTCCAGGAACCTGGTAAAAGGGGCCCGAGATTACTTCTCGCCGCGGTGGTGGCTGTGGTTGCACCCTCGTAAAAGCCGGCTCGTAGTCGGCTTGCGTAGCCTGGTCTCTCGTTTCTTTTGGCTTGGGCTGCTTATTTCTACCAACCACAGGCGTAGTAGATGAGGAGGCCACATCTCCAAGTGGAACTTCTGGTAGGGTTTCGGTGGGTGGACATGTAGGCATTGGAGAGCACCCTTCAGGCATGGTATCATCAAACTTTTCCTTCAAGTCAAACATCCTCTCCTTCTGCTCTTTAGTGAGGTCGGATGGGCTGATTGAGAGTAGAACTTGAAGTTCTTTCAACTCGTTCCTCGTGAGATTTCCCTTGGTGGCCCGTGAAGCTTTCGTTCTCAAAGCCTTGACCTTTGTTTCAGAGCTCCGGATGCAGCTCTTCACTCCTTCCCAGAGTCCAATGATTGCAACTCCAAGGATCAGCACCACCAGGTACAAGTCCCAGGGAATCTCTGGTTGTAACTCCTGCTTCTGTGCCCATGTTCCGCAAACTTGACATAGGAGAAGTAGACGCTGTAGCCATGTGCCCTCATTCCCAACAGTTCTCATTGTCTTTACTTCAACATTTGGTCGCCGATCGTGAAGATTCCATAAGGCCACCAGTTGCCGTAGACGTTCTTTGGTAAAGGGCTTGGTTCCCAAATCTGCCCGTTGGTACAGACCAGGACAAAATAGGATGTCAATCGCCTTGCGCTGGTGCATCTCCCTCACCCAGTTACTGCGAAGGCGCAAATGCCTTGTCCTCCAGCTTCCTGATGATGTAGTCAGGAGAGCAACAGCAGCCTTGTTGTCAACATATAACCACAAAGGAACTTCTTCTCCTTGGAGTTCATTGATAAGGCACCGAGTAGAAAGACCCATCAAAGTTCCCTCAACGGCCTCAACCAACTCTGATTCCGCCGTTGACAAAGTAGTTAGCGGCTGCCTCGATGCCCTCCAGCTTAAAGGATTGTTCCCGTAGAAAATCGCAACCGCCCCATGTGACCTTCCTCCGCTGGGAGAGAAAGAGCTGTCGGTGTAGACACTCACGGCTTTCACGCTCTCCTCCTCATCCTGTGTAAAGGATAACCTGTAGTACTTGGTTTCCGAGAGATAGTCCAGGAGACGCCTTCCAACTACATTCACCATTCCGGGCGACCTTGTAATTCTTGAAGCCATTATCGACACAGTGTGTTGAATATCCGGTCTTGTACGGCCCACAAGCCACAACAACTCCCCAACACGTTTTTGTGCTTCCTTCACTTCTGGGTCCTTGGGGTCCACGTTGCTGGGCTCCGCGTCGATAAGCGCTCTCTCCTCCTCCTCGGTTAAGAGAAGGGTTTCTCTCGGACCTTGGGAACACGAACGTCCTCCCTCATGATTGTAGGACCTGAGAATTTCGTTGACGAATCCTTCCTGTGCCAACTCCACACCTCCTTGAACCTTATGAAGCTCCATACCCAAGAACCGGATGGGGTGGTGGTAGTCAAGAACGTCCAAATCGTCAACCTCCCATTTCGCTGATACCCACTTGAAGAAACCTTCCATGGCCTCCTCCTGAGCATGTATGAGGAGGTCGTCTATGTAGACAAGAACGTAGCCGTAGACTTCACCGCCATTCTCCGGTATGATCTTCCATACTTGATTATCGGAGACTAACTGTTCCAACCTCATCTTCACCTCTTGACCGTCGATGTTGACTGTCCAGCGAGCAAGCTTCAACTGTTCATCCCTGAACATTGACCAAAGGGCTGGGGCTTCCCGCAAACCATACAAGGCTTGCTGCACGAACCATACATCTCCTGGAGCTGCTAAGCCAAGCAAATAGGCTATTCCCGGTGGTTCCAAGGCCACTGGCTCCCCTCGCCATCTCGCAAGTACGAAAGCCTGGCGCACATCTGCACTGTAGTTCCAATCCGCCACGGTTTCTTCGCATTGTAGGCCAACATGGTCCGGAGCGAAGTAGCATCTAGTCCCGCAGCAAAAAGATCCATAGTGGCAGACTCCTCAGAGATGTAGTTTCCGCAAGCCACAAACCCTGTTTTTCTTCTGTAGCCTGGTGGCCCTTTGTCTGGCTTCACGGTGTAGACCCCTTTACAGGGCACTATGCGGCAGTTTGCCGGTAGCTCATGCCGCTTCATCACCTTGAAAGCCTGCTTGGACTTTGTCAGGTTGTTAAACTCCTTCAAGGCTGACTGCCTCCACTTTTCAATGTTACTCTTGACATCGGTAAGACTCACGGTGTGGGTAACCTCTAGCTGTCCTCCCTTGGCCTCAATGTCCTCCAGGATTTGTTCAATGTTTGGAGTATACTGCACCTCGGCCTTCTTTATCATCTTCTTGACATGGACCGAAACATGTGGTGCAGCACAGAGAGGATCACACGGAGGTAGCTGAAGAGCATTGTCAACCCCTTCACCCTTGAGCAGCTCATTGTTCTCAAACTCCACAAAGGCAACCTTGACATCCACAATCTCCTCCGCCTTCATCATTTTGACCTTAGCAGCAGGAAGCGGGAGGGGAATCTCAGCAATCTTCTCCTCATCACCCTCTTCTTCGCCGTCTGGGAGAAGTGAATCACGATCAAGGGGAAAACCGGCTTCTTCCAACAACCCAACACCTTCAGAGGAAAGCTTCGTTGCCCTTGGAGTGTAGAGAAGCATCACAATGCGCTCACCTTCCCACGGTTGAACTTCATGCCACAGACGCGGAGAGAAGCGCACAGGGACGCCCTTATGCATTTCATGTAGCTTCCCGTATACAACTTTCCCATTAGATAACGTCCTCTCTTCACCTTCACGGTCCTCATCATTCTCATTTTGAACCCATAGGGAACCATTCTCAAAGGTCTGAAGAGGGATCACATAGTTCTTGGAGAGCTTGTAGTTATGGGAATCTCGATGTAGGCCTAGCTGCGCATTCTTGGCCAATCCAATGGCCGAAAACTTCGCATCTCCACAGCATCTCTTGGCCACGCCCACAAGGTACTTGGTAGTGTAGGGAAACTCCTTCAGGTTGTTTCGAATCCCAGCCACTCCACCATGGACAAAAGCTCCAGTATACCATGAAGAAAACGGTGACTTTGCCTTGATCCTTTGATCCGTGTCACCCATAATCTCGAGGATCTTAAACAGCTCTGCCGCCTTGTTGACATCAAAGTTCTCCTCCTCGAGCAACATACGGGATCTGAACTCAACCTCATCTCTGAGTTCGCTTTTTGTAGGGGGTTCCGGAGAAAGAAGAAGCTCCTCAGGAAGTCCATCTGCAACCGACGGTGGCACAAGGTCCTTCATCTCCTTCGTGGGGTCCCAAACATTGAGCTTGACACTCTTTGCGACCGTGAGTCCTCCATCTTCTCTTACGATCAAGTGTCCTCTCTTAACATCCATTGCAGGACCTCGGTACCAACCACGCTTCCACCTCATGCCCGCCGCCTCGTGCTTTTTCTCCGACTTGCCTTGGTAGTACTTAGCTCGAAACCAAACTTCGCTTCCAAAAGCCGTAGCCGGTGGTGAAGCCCATGGGCTATCTGGAAATGCCTTCGCCCACAGGTCCGACGAAGCATGGCTGATCGCCATTGGCCAATCTCGGGGAGGGGCCTTTGCAGCAACCAAGAGAGCTCGTACACGAGCCTTCGCCCACTTGATTCCCAGCTCTGCTGAACTGTTACCCGCAGGATCACCGCCTGCCGTCTTGGTGTGTCTCAGCTGGGCTTCCACTGTCCAATCCTTGAACAACTTGGCCTTGAACTCGCGTGCTCTGTCCGTGTGAACAGTACTCACGTGTAGCCCGGACTGTCTTAGCTGCAACACAATTTCTTTAGCTGCTTGAGCTGCATACTGGGTTGTTCTCCTCCTCATTGGCCTTGTTACATAGATTGTGGTCCATTCTTCTTGTTCAAGAAGGCCCTCCACAGCATCATCCAACGTTTCCGGCCCACAGGGTTCGCCGTGTTCTTCCTCGGACTCAGCTTCCTTCTCAGCTTCTTCCTCCGACAAAGCCATCGGATCATCACCTCCGCATTCTTCAGGTTCGTCGGGAACATAGAGCTCTGAGTCCATATAGGCCAAAGCCTTTTCGCTGAGGTACTCCTTTGGACATCTGTAGGCAGCAACCATGATATATTTGTAATCTTCGTGATCCATATCTCTCCCTTTCTGTTTGAAAGGCCCTGCCAAATCAAGTGCTACGGTATACATAGAAGGATGCCGCCGGCGTCGATGTTGATAGCCCGTAGCCTGAGCATTGATGCAAACAGCGCAGTCGGCTCGATATGGCTGGTGGTCGTTAAGTAGATGACGTTGCCACGACTCTCTTTG